GGTGATTGGTAGAATAATTGCAAGGTGAGTAATGAACTGGCTAAAGCTGAGATGACAGTGGGTTGTGCTGAAATGCAAACTGTCAAGATGGATGGAAGTTGTTAGTAGAATTCATTAAGGACCCTGGCACAAGAGGTGGGAGTGTGCAAATGAAATTTGTTGGTGTGACAAAGTTGGAAAGTACTGTCAACGTAGAAAAGAATCAGAACATCATATAGAATAAACTGGATGACCTTGAGGAGTGGATTAATAGAAATGGGATGGAATATATTAATATGCAGCACATGGGGAGTAACAACAAGAATTTCAGCTATAGGCTGGGAGCTCATCAGTTGAAAATTGCCTACAATTTCCTTGACCTATTAGTTGATTACACAATAAGTATGAGCTACCGATATGATATGGCCACAAAGTGGGATCCTAGATTTCACCAGGTGGCGTATTTCCAGTAGAGATAGCAAAGTGTCCGTTCCATTGGTTGGTGATGATACAATACTGCTTGATGGCTATTGCCATTGGGTTCCAGTGCAGCATGAATTCATGAGCTGAATTAATTTTATTCAGTAACACACCCTGTAAATTCCTCTTGCAAGACACAGGGCAAACCTATGTAATTTAGGATATAGGTTAGTCCAGCTCCATGTCAGTTTCTGTGACCCAGCTTTCTTGGTAACTAGTGTATGAATTTCCCCTTATATTGATCCTAAATTGCCTCACCTTTACTTACATCCCATTCTACCTAGTTAACTCCTTGTGCAAAGCTCAGCAATTCTTCCTCCTCCATAGTTTTCACACCCTTCTGATATTTGTAGGCAGTTATCAAGACCCCTTCAGTTATCCCTTAGCCAAGCTAGACTCTTTAGTTCTTGTAACCTTTTCTCCTAACAAAATCCTTCCTGCCCCCTAATCTTTTTTTGTTGGTGTTCTCTGAACTCCCGCCACTTTGTCTGCTTCTCTGTTAATGAGGTGCCCTGCGATGAATTCAGGATTCCAAGGGTAGCCAGCCATTGCCTTATGATTTGTGTCACAGTATTGCTTGGAGACCCTGATTTTCCTGGTTTTGAATGCTGTCCAGGCAAAAGGTCATTGACCTCTTTCCGTCATGATGAAAATGCCTCTGTGCTTGCACTGGACTTTGCTTCCATAAATCATTTCAGTCCTGTCAGTGTTGCTGTCCACCATCGCCCGTGACGGGTGTTTTATAGGCTCACCATTTGCCAGAATACTTCAAGTGTAGTGAGAGTGCTCTCTCGTGAGTAGCCGGCTTTCATGTGCTATTTCTACAAGGTCTGCTGCTTGCATTTCTTCACAGGGAGTCTCTGTTTATTCCTGGGTATTTGCTGTGTAAATATGGTAGAGACAGAGATTGGCAGTGATGGGACACTGGAGCTCTCTATAAAGGGGTCAGTAGCATTGGGTTATCTGCGGGGAGATCACAGCTTCCTCCCATTGATTTTTCTGCAGGGTTTTTTCAGAATTCTGTTCCATGAATTGACCATGACTATTCACAATTCGATCTTTGTTGCTTCCTGGTGATTTGGTCAGGAAACCTTGTACAATGGATGGAGTAAATCACATGCTATATGATGGAGTTATACTCAAACACACCTTGTATTCTCCCTCCTGCTGCTTGTTGCAAAGCTGTGGAGAGGTGCACCTTATTGCGTACCTGCAGCAATGCCTCCAAACATGTGGTTGTGTGCTCTGAGCTCTAGGTGCAACTTGCGAGTGCAAAGCAGGAAGAGAGTGAAGCGATGTGTAGCCCAGCTGTCAAATCATCAGAGCTTAGATTCCAGCTGGCCACTATGGCATGCTAAGACTTAACTGTTTCTAGAGCAGGCAACTGTTAATCTCCCATTAAGTGCTTAGAAGCTGCACTTTTGAAAGTGGGTATCTGTGCCTGGTGTTAGGGCACTCTGCTTTAGAGAATGATTTGAGGGATTGAGCAGATGCACTCACAGCATGAAGAAGACTAACAGACTAACCGCAGTGCCCTAGGTTGGTGCTGCACTATAGACAGTACCTTGGGTGACTCAAAATAGGGTGCTATATTGGGTTAATATATACCTCACTGTCCCTGAAATAATGACGTCCATATCTCTAGGCTTGATCACTAGTAGCTGGCATGTTTGCAAAGCTGTTAACCTCTGTCTCCACTCGCATGTAACATGTAAGTAACATCTTTAGAAAACAGCCACATTTTTTAGTCCAGGCATGAACACACACACGCATCCTCACTAACATGTTTAGAGAACAGCTAGATTTTTTAGTCCAGCCATGAACAGCCACACACGCACACAGTTGGGGACTTGTACACTCATGCTCCCAGCAGAGAGAGCTCTCGGTTTTCAGCAGGAGAATTGACTGAGAGGACTGTGTAGTGTGCCACCTGTGGCCTGGGTGGCAGACATGCTGCCTTTCCACACACGGAGCACAGATAGTGCCTCTTTTATTCTCCTTGCCTTGTGATTAACCTTGATGAATGTGTTTCAGTCTCTGCCAGTGGTCCCCATCAGCCTGATGTGTTCAGAATCCCAGCTGGCTCTAGGGATACTGTGCTGACAGGAAGAGGATGCACCTCCCAGTTTTTGAGCCAGCTTACAAGTGGAGGCTGCTAGCTCAGTACCTCCTCCTATCATGTTCTAGGTCCTCCCAGCATTCACAGGGAAAGAGGGGGAGCAAGACTTCTGTGTTTGAGAGGGAAGTTTACATGGGGGCAGACTTTGCTAGGCTGCAGCTCCTGCCCTCTTCATTTAAAACTGCCTTTTGTCCTTCTTCCTGGCTTGTAAGAGCTCCTGAGTGTGGATTCTGTTCCTGGACCATAGTTAACTCTGCCAGTATACTCCAGCTCTGACCCATAGTCCCCCTGATCAGCCAGTCTTGGACCTCGTGGTACTACCAGTGCTCCTGGATTGGAATACTAACCTTGGACCTCATGCAGCTCTACCAGGAACTTTAGTCCTGACCCAAGCTCCACCACCCTGTTAAACCACTCTTGGACCGTTGCAGCTCTGCCAGTGCATGTAAACTCTGAACTGTGGAGCTTGGGCCTATTGCAGCACTTCAGTCCTGACCTGTTGCACCATGCCATAGCAGGCCTGGACCCTAACACCCTGCTGTGCTGATGCACCCTAATCCTGACGCCTAACACCCATGGCTATACCAGCCCTGTCCCCTCTCCCTGCTCTGCTGGTGTGCTTTGATCCTGACCGGCAAGCATTCCTTCACTATTCCAGGCCTCCAGATCTCCTGCTGAGGCATTGGAATTCCACTCACTTTGGACCAAAGCCACAATAGGCAGCTCAGAGTCTTTGGTTGAAAAGCTGATGCTGTGATCTGAGGTGGAATCAGAGTCTAATCCAGCTGGCCTGCTAACGTAACACAGGATCTGGGTCTGTACTTGGATGGGAGACCACTAAGGATCATCTGTTTGCTCCAGTGAACTGTGTTGGTGGTTCAGTAGGGTACAGTCAGTGCTGGTAGTAGCATGTTGGAATGGTGGTAGGTAGGGGTGTTGTGCTACAGAATATGGTCTGAGTGGCTCAGCAAGGGCAATATCCTTCTGACTCTACTGGTCTCAGTACTGCTAGAGGAGCTGTTTATTCCTGACTCCTTGTAGCCATTCCCACAGTTCTCTGAAGAGTTAAGGAAGGAGTTGCTTCCAATCCCAGCTACGCAAATCTCAGCGTGGGAAGCAGTCTGCTCCTCCTGCAGATCCTTCCTGGCAAATCCTTCCTGTAATATGGGAGTCTTTCATTCCTGTCTTAGTGGAGTAATGCTGTGCAGCTTCCAGACCACTGCCACCTCCCATGCCAGAGGATGGCATAACAGTGGTTGGCAGCGTGGTCCCTGCAGAGCACTTGGGATCTTTCTCTTCCCAGTTGGCGCTGTTATTCCTGTTGTCCTTATGCAGGTGCCCCTCCACCCTCCAGGAGGGCTGCCTGCAGTGAGGACTTCTGGTTTGATGGTTACTCTGTGTTTGTAGTGAGATAGTGGTAGGATTATTTATAATGATTGGCTCACAGATGCCTCTTCAGCATCTTGCTGCAGGGGCCCTGTAACTTTCTGGTGGAGGGAGGGGATGAGGGAGGGGTGTGTGCGTGCACACGTGCATGCATGCTGTTGAGTAGCAGAATCAATACACTGGGGATGCCTGGTCCCCCTGCCACAGTACCATGCTGGGTTTGAGGCTGTTTACTTACTCTAAGGAAGCTTTTAACTTTAATAACATTGCACAGCGATAAGGAGGCAGCAGCCTGAGGGGACATGGCAGTGACAGGATGATTTAAATGGCCCCTCAGTGTCGCTTCATCTTTGCAGACATCATAAATCAGATTAGGACTGAATTGAGCCAAGGCAAGGGGGAGAAGGGGCAATGTGAGGGAGGAAGGGAGATGGACAATCCCGTGGTAGAAAGCAGATAGATGGGCCTCCCCCCTCAGCACAGATGCAAGTCCCCATATCTGCCTCAGGTGGGCACCCTCATTCTTCCCCAAACAGGTGCCTCCATCATTGCCCGTTGGATGGGTGCTTTTTGTCCACTCCTGAATACATAACTCTGCCCCAAGAAATGCCCCTAGTCCCTGCTGTCCATGCCTGCTCCACCAGATCTCTCCCATGTGTCCTTACTTAACATCCCTATTTCTACCTAGGGGAATGCTTCTGATGTGTGCCTCCAATTCCCTCCAAAACAGGCATCCCTAACAGTCATCTCTCTGACAGACTGGGGAATGGACCCCCCTACCATGTTTCTGAATGCCCTCAGGCTGGCAGGCACCCTGCTAAGTGCTTCCCTTGTAGTGGATTCCTGAGTATGTGAAAGGCCTGGAATAACTCCTCCTCACTGGCATGTGCGCCAGAGGCTGGCCTCCTGCTCCTTCCTGAAGCTTCGAGTCTAACAGATATGCTGGGGCCTGACTTTCCCTGCCCCCTGTTTGTTAGATGGTGGTGTCATTAGCAGGCCCTTCCTAAGCCATTGACCCACTTCTGTCTTCTTTCAGCTCTCTCGCAACCTGGGGAAGCTGTACAGCGAAATGATCTTTGTGAATGGCTTTGTACACTGTGACCCACACCCAGGCAACGTGCTAGTGAAGAGATGTCCAGTCACTGGCAAGGCCCATATCATACTCCTGGACCATGGGCTCTATCAGGTATGTGAGCAAGGTGGATGCCATGCAGTGCCCTGGGGCCTCCTTTTTCATCTGGCCATTTAGAGCCTAGGTGAATGAAAGGGCTACCCTGGCTTTTCGACCCACCTTGTGCATTTCTGCTTTCACTTCTACCATGCTTTAATGGAATTGTATTCCTGGCAGCTTCAAGCACAGCACAGCAAGTTTGGTGTCTTGAAGCAGCTGCTGGACAGGACAGATTTTTTTCCCCCTTCCCAACTGTGCTGTGGATCAATTTCTTTTAGAGAATGTCTCTCTCCCTCCCTCCCTTCCCAGGTCCTGACAGAGAAGTTCCGCTTGGACTATTGCCGACTCTGGCAGTCCCTGATCAAGGCAGATATGAAGCAGGTGCAGAAGTACAGCCGGCGCCTAGGGGCAGGTGATCTCTACCCACTCTTCGCATGCATGCTCACTGCAAGGTCCTGGGCCTCAGTCAGCCAGGGCATTGATCGGTCCCCAGTCACAGCTAATGAGGTGTGTCCCATTTGTGCTTCATATTCCTTTGGTGCCTTTTTCCATGAAAATCACCTGCATAATTGATATTGGTAATTGTGTTGGGAGTGCCCTAGCAGGTCCATAGTGAAGGCTGCACATAGCATTTGAGGGGGCCTAGAATCCCTCTGAAATATCTCTTTCTAACATGTAGGTAGGAATCTAAAATGAAGGGCTGGAATTGTGTGTTATGAAATGATGTGATGGAAATTCATTGTTGTGTGCAGGATTTTCAAGGTCGGAATTAAGGTTTGCTTTGGTGGGTCAGACATGCCCTTAGGACATCAGAAAGCAAGTTTCTGTATAACAGGAAGGCAACTTCTTTATGTAGGTTTTGGAATGAAATGGAGAGTTTAAAGGCAGCAGCAAGAACCGGGCAACATTGTAGAGAGGTGCCATGAAGCACACAACTCTGGGGTTATTTTTAAACCCTGTATTGCAACAGCGTCTGCTATTCCAGTATTGCGGCCCTCCAAAGCTCCGCTGGCACCTGTCAGATGTCCTTCGGCATGGTCTGGTATTCCTACCTTTGTTCTTGGCATAAAATGCCAGTTAAGATGACAGATGATGTCATGTGGACAAATCGTCTTTATACACAGCTAGAAGTTCAAGAAGAATGGAGTGAAAAGGATTAGGCATGTATTGAAAGTGGTATAGCCTTTGCAGTGATGTGAGTTATGACAGAATGATAAGGGTCCCTTGTATCAGAATGTAAGTTAGGTTCATGGAGGAATTTCCTTCAGGAGGCATTGTTAAACACTGGCATGCAGTGAAGGGTTTTAAGAACTTGCTTTTGGCCACTGTTGAAGATAAGGCACCAGATTAGATAGGAAAGCCTGTGCTTGTTCACTTGCTCTCTCTCTCTATATATATCTTTTCTAGTGAGTTAGTTTTAGTTAGTTAAAGGTGTCAACCCAGCTTTCTCAAATTGTTATAACCAGAGGAGCAGAAGAGAGACTATGAGATGACATGAACTATTGGTATGATCTGGTGGAAGTGGACACAAGACTTATTTGGACCCTTGGTCTGTTCCCAGATGCAGAATCTCATGTTCCCACTAGAAGGGCCTCAGGGCCAGCATAGAGAAGTGGGCAGCTCTGGTCACCACCTCTGAACTGGAGAAATGTTTTTATAGTTGTCCCTTCTCATCCTCCACAAATTCTAGCCCTCTTCCTGCACAAGAAGCTGTCTCAGCTGCATTCTGCATGCAGTCTGCTGGGTTCTGAACCCTTCAAATGCTCCAGTGACCTTTTTCTGGATTTTCTGGTTCAAACCACAGCTGCTATGGTGGACATGCAGGAACAGCCTTGTGTGTGTGCAGTGATCCGTTGCACTGTCCTAGATTCACAGGGATTCCTGTTGAGCGGCACTAACAACTCTAGCAAGAGCCAGGAGAAAGAAGGCAGGCAAGGGACAGAGACCCTGCTGCATACCTCTGTCCAGATATACTGTGCCCCTTGCTATTGCACACAGCTGTGGCAGTGGACTAAGTCCCACTCGGTGACTGCAGGACTCCCTCGCTTTACTTGGTAAGGCTCAGGCTGAAGGCTGTAGGAGCTGTGGTATATTGGAGAGGCTGCTGGATGCTCTGGAGGAAGGAAGATGCCTCCAATGGTACTAAGTGCCCTGTGACTCTGAAAGGCTAACCTTCTGCATGTGGAGAAGTCTCCTGATCACACTAAGGTGCAGGTGGTAGGACAGAGTGATAGATGAACATGGGCTTTCAGGACAGCTTGAGAGAGGCTTTGGGGGTGCTTTGTCTGGTTTGCCAAGGAGTTGGGAGGACAGAGGGCAGAAAGGCTGCTCAGAGTCCAGTTGTTTTAGTCTGTCAGCAGCTGCTTAGAAGAGACTTCACAGTTCATCGCCATTACCTATCAGCTCAGCTCCTTAAAGGGCCGGTATTATGCTAGTACACAAAAGAGCTGGTTTTGAGTGCCAGCCATGGGCTGTCTTCTCCATGATGTTGGAAAGGAGTGAGGAAGGGGTACTGCTGGGACCTCTGGTCAGGCTGGCCCCAGAGCAGTTCTCAGCTGTTGGCTCAGAAGTAGTTGAAGGTAGCAAGTGAGTATGGGTGCAGAGCAGGACAGGACAGGCTCCATGGGGATTCATAAGTGCAGATTTGGTTCCTCTCTGTTCATCCAGATTGCCATTGCCTCATGTGCATGGGGCAGTCTGGCCTCTGCCGTGAGGAGCTCTTTAGCTTTTAGTAACCTGGGGTGATCTCCTGTTACTGCGTTTCACTACTTGCCCTCAGAAGCAGCAGCGCATGGACTTCCAAAACTCTGTTAACCTCTCTCTCCTCTCTCCCGGGCACTCCTCTGATCCAATTGTGCACAGGATGTGGAAATTCGGACCAATGCTGCTGCTTACCTACCTCAGATCACCCAGCTCCTCAACAATGTCCCTCGCCAAATGCTGCTGCTGCTGAAGACGAATGATTTGCTGAGGGGGATTGAGTCAGCCTTACACACGAGGGCCAGTGCCAGCTCCTTCCTCAACATGTCTCGCTGCTGCATCAGAGCCATCTCTAGGTGAGCCTCTGTGTCTGCAAGCCTGGGGCCTTGACTTCCACTGGGCACCCTTCCACCAGTTGTGCCCAAGAAAGCATCAGCTGAGATGACTCTAGAACTGAAAAAATTGTCCTGTTGACCTTACCTCTCTCAAATTCCCAGCTTTTTTTCTTTCTGGGCCTATCCCATTTCATTTCCCCACCTCTTGTTTTGTTACACCCTCCTCTGCCACCTCCCACCAGACTCTCCCTAGGGAAGGCTTTTCCCTCAGCAGGAATGAGATTGGGCAGAGCTGGGAGGAAGAGGGAGTCATAGCAACTTTTTTGCTATACATTTGCTCTGGGATTGCATTTCCCTCTGAAGAGCAGGGTGGAGGATTCTTGGATGTGATTGTTGTCACCGCCAGGCCCCAAAAATGGAAACAGAAACCTAAGTTCATAGCTGGTCACCTCAGCTTCATGGTTAAAGGGGCTTGAGGCTTGTGGTAATGAACTGACAGCCAAGACAAATGCGTTCCATCCCTGATTTGGATGTTAGCTTCCTTCTTGATAGTAGTTACCTCACTCCCACCTACCTATTTCACCATCTCCTCACATCTCTTCTCTGCTTTTTATCTTGCATTTATAGAGCAGGGCACAGAACTGTCTTTTACTAGATCAGGGGAGTCAGGACTCTTAGAGTCTTGTCCTGGCTCTGCCCCTGACCTTATTCATGATCATGGGCAAATTACTTAATTACTCAGAACCTCAACTTCCCCACCAGTTCTGAAACACCTTGAGAATCCCAGGCAATAGCCTCTGTAGCAGTGCAGAGAGATAGTAATGGTGATTCCCTGCAAGGAACAATCAGATTTAGCCTTTTTTTAGGGAAATGGTTACACCAGCCTAAATTGTGAGATGGATACTAAATATTAATTACAATGAATAGTCACAAGGTACTTAATCAATATGATTATCTTCAGTATCAAACAGCTTAATTGAAAAAAGAACACCTACTGGGTGCAGTTGAACCCAGTACTCAGGTGGGGAAATTGAGGCCCAGAGAAGGAAATGTCTATCCAAAGGGGTCAGGATGGGCTGTGGGAAGAGAATCCATGAATTCCTAGCTCCCAGTCTCAGGCTCTGTCTCCTAAAGGAGGCAGTCTCTTTTGTACTCTACTTCCTGTCCCTCCCTCCTTCTGGGGAGGGACAGTTACTGGCTGGTCAGGAAGCTTTTGCCTGGAGGAAACCCCCAGCCCACTGAGATTCCCTCCTGTTGGTGAAGCTTTGAGGGTGGGATCTTGGCTGATGGCTGGCGCACCCAGTGAAGAAGACTCATGGTTATAAAGCTCTACCTCAGGGGATGTGTTCTGTGCAGTTGATAGCAGCTGTTTGTCTCTCTTGCCAGGTACCAGAGGAGCAGGACTGACTCCCTTTACAGAAAAGCCCAGATCTCTTTTACAGAAGCCCTGAGCCTGTGGCAGATCAACTTGTATGAACTCTACCTGTGGCTGAAGGGATCCCATCTGGGCAACTGGGTCATCACTCTTCTGAGCTGGATGCACCATTCTCTGTACTGACATGAACTTTGGGGAGGAGCCAGGATGATTATCCCCTCATCTCTGTCCTTCAGACCTGCCTTCCCGACCATGTCTGTCTGTAACTCCCAGGAGCTCTTTCCTTATAACAGATCGTGCCATCCTTTCCTGTCACAGCGTCAGCTTCTCTCCAGCAGTAAGAGAGGTGGGAGCGTGGAGGGGCTTGGGGGCCAGCACTGCAGCATTCTGTCTGAGATGTGGGAAGCAGTGGTATGATCCATTGGGAATGGCAGGAAGCCTGGGAGTGAGCCCTTATAGGGAAGTCCTGTGGGTCCAAATCGGAAATTAGACCCTCTCTCAAGGTCTTTTTAATAGCCACCCTAGAGAGTTTAAGATTTACATCCCTGCCATTGAATTCTCCAGGACACTTCACAGAGCTCCAGAGGGAGGAAATAATTCCTTTTAAAATGCTGTGGGGTTTGAGAGTTGTTACAGAATCCAATCGATCTCATTGCTGTGAAACCAGACAGGTGTCTTCTCTAAGAGGAAAAAGATCTCATGGTTAGAGTTGGGGCCTGAAGCTCAGGACTCTTGAGTTTTATTCCCAGCTTTAGGAGAGGAAATGGCCTGAATTGTGAGAGCAACAGTCTAGGAACCAAAAAATCAGATGTCTGTTCCTGTGGAGTTTGTCATTTTGGACAAGTTTCTTAACTGCTCCTTACCTCATTTTCCTGGAAAATGAGGGTAATGATACTTGTTCCTCCCTGAATACCCCAAGAGGAATGTGCTGAGGGATGCCAACCCTTAGCTCACAGCTCATTGCCGATGGTGTATGCATACTGTACTGTACTGTTGCACAGGAAAATAAAGCAGGGTGTTACATGAGAGACACTTCATGGGAGAAGTGCTTTGTGGCCCACCCCTTTTGCCCCTCCCCCTTTGAACCACAACATCATTTTTAGTTCTTCGCTTCCATGAGTAGGATGCCATTCTGGGCTGTTAATCCCTTACAAGCTGAATGAAATGCCATGCCTGTGCCTGTTCCATTTTATACATGGCCTTCCCTGTCTAGCAGACTTGATTCATCCCAAGGGCCGCTGCTTTTGAGTCAGGTATGCTCACATGGGGATGATGGAGCCTGTGCCATGCTGCCTGGGTGACTCATGGCTTCTGCCCCACACATCCATGCAGAGCCTACTCCTTTCTTTAGCATGGGAGCAGGCTGCAGTGCATCTCTGAGCCCTGAGATGCCCCCTCACTGCCGTGCAGGGAGCATCTTGCCTCAGCCCTGCCCATGACGTTTTGCTGTTCCTGCCTCAGACAAAAACCTGCCACTGGTTTGGTGGTGCAAGTGACAGGCCTGGTCATTTTGAGTCTGCAGCTACAAGAAAAGCACTGGAAAGCCTTGGCCAGAGGCTTCACTTCTGCCAAGCCTAGTCAGGCTCTCCTTTTGCCTTGCTGTTCCCTCTGGAGCTGCTTGCAAGTAACAGGGAGGGATGGGGGCTCTGTGTGGCCAGACATGTGGGGTGCCCACTGGGCTGTCAGTGAAGGCATGTGGCATCAAGCAATGGGTGCAACCTTCCAGATCCCTTTGGTCTTTCCTCTAGATGATCTCTGCCAGGTGGCTCCTTTACTGGGCACAAAGGAGCTGTTTGAGATGGGAACCTGCTTCACTGTCAGCAGAACTGGTGGAGCAAGGATTGCTACCAGCTGTGGGAGAGTGCAATGTGTGAAAGCATGCATCTCCTGCACCTGTGTGAAACCTGTCACCGGGTGTCACCAAACACGTTAATCTAACACTGCGTATGTGTGTGTGAGAGAAAGAGAGGGAGGGAGGGAGAAAGAGAGTGTGTATGTGCATATGTGCGCATGGAAGTGTCAGTGATGGTTAAAGAATCCCCTTGCCAAAGTGTCTGTGTGCATCTGGGAGCATCTGCCTCCTTAGTGTGAAAATGTGTGTTAGCGGTAGTGTCTGGCAGGATTGTTGGAAATGGGGGATGGATACTTGTGTCTCAGGATGTGGCTGTCTTACGGAGCATGTCACTTACCTTCAGTATACCTCAATCCAGGCCATGCACCCAGACCACTCACTGGTCAATTGTCATTGGCTTGTCAGCTGATAACCAAACTGCCCAAAGAGATACCTGCTTAAGCTGTCTGCCTCTTTCTCACAGGGAAGGGAAGAGCTGGAGGAAGGAACTGAGCTCTCTTTGTAATGGTAAGAGAATGGGATAGGGGAAAAAGCCTGGCCAAGCCTTGTCCTGGAACTGTAGCTCAAGTCAGACATCCCCAGCCTGAACTTCTGAACTTTCATTTGAATCTTGAAACCTGACTCGCAGGGATTTCAGCAAGCGGTCAGGGCAGCCCTTGGGACCAACTCTGTAGCCCTTAGATGGTAATCCTTGCTCACAAGAATAGTCTCACTGATGTCTCTGCCACTGGGTAGGTGACTGAAACTTACACAGTACTAATTAAGGGGATGGAGAAACAGTTGTGGGCCTATACCCTATTCCCAAACCAGGCTTCCTTGTGGGAAACTGAAGAGTGGAGAAACTGAAGTCAGGGCTCTCCACGGACACCTGTGACTGAGGGCCGCTCACTGAGTGGTCCCATGGTCTAAGTGTCCTTGCAGACTCCTCCGTGTTGACCTACTGGAGCATTCTAGAGAGACCCATTGCAGAGCTGTCCCAAATAGATGTCACAGCAGGTCACCTCCCTTTAAGAGAAAGAGCACCTTCATGTCCCCCGTTTTCCAGAGGAGAACACAGGCCCTGTGAGCTGGAATGGCTTCCCCAAAGTCAGAGCTACCATTAATGGTAGCAGTTAGGACTAGAGCCCTGGCAGTATTCATATGCAGTCCTGTGCCTTCACCCCACCAACATCCATCCACTGAACCACTAATCACCCTGTTTAATGCAGCCTTCTGTTACAAAGACCATGGGAAAACTGCAGCCCAAACAATGGTGCAGTGGTGTTGTTGACCCATTGTAATGAACAAAGGGCAGGCTGGGTGTCACGGAGCTTTGTCTCTCTGCTCCCTGTTCGTGCTGAACATGAAGAGTCCTGCCCACAAGATCTGTAGGGCGCCTGACAAAGTGTCATCCCTTACCTTTTCTCACAGACAGTGCAAGCCTTGCCTGAGGAAGGACTCAGTAAAAACTGAGTGTATGACCCTTTCTTGTTCCCACTCTGTCTCTGTATAAAGTTCTCACAGCTGAATGTGCTAAAATGGCTTTAAAAAGCTCCCGCCTCCTTTTTGTCCTGCTTTGCTGCTGTCAAATGCTGGCAGTGCTGGATCAGCTGTTAACAGTCCTGCCTCCCCTTGCCATAGTCTGTAATTATCTCTTGCTTTCACCAAAAAACCCAACAAAAACACCTCCCCACTCCCTTTGCTCCCAACTCTTCCTTGCTATTCTACACAAGTATTTTCCCTCCCTGGGTTCATTTTCTAGGGAGCTGAAAGACCATGTTGATCTTGTTTCTATCCTAGCTCCCTCTGCTGGCTCTGTGGCAGCACTTCACAAATCAGATGCAGAGAGATTGTACACCCAGGATTTGACTCCTGTGTACAGGGATTATCTCTACTCCTGGAAGCAGACTCCATCCTGAATCCTGTCAGAGTTAGAGCAGGAAAGGTACAGAACAACTTGGAGGCCTCTTCTTCTACCTGCTGTGTATCAAATGCTATCTTAGATTTCTCACCCCAGGGCTCCCAGTGCTCTTTATAAACTGCTTGCTGTAGAGCCAGGAGTCATTTCATCCAGCACTGAAATATAGCCACCTCTGGAGGGGCCCGGACAGTTGTTTAACAACTACACAAAACTGCCCAACAGTTCAAATCAGTCCAAGGCCCCAGCATCCTCAGTATGCTCTGTATTGTTACTTCTGTTCAGCCAATCAAACCAATGTAACCCCCTCTCATATCAGCATCTCATTCATCCTAAACAGTTGTGCAATTCAGTTCCTGTAATCAAATCAATTTGATACCCATTTCCCCCAGCAGCTGGTTCCCTAAATCAATGCATGTCTCCTTTCCCATCTCCTGATAGGCCTCTTTGGCTGCAGCACTGCCAGCATTTTTTCCAGGCTGGTGAAGGAGATCCTGGGATAGGAGATCTGTCTGGATTTTCCTCCTTCTCCATGCTCAGACTACAGATGGGAGAGGGAGAACATGGGGAGCCCAGACAAGAGTTCCCTCAGCTATTTAGAGGCTGTCCAAGACTGTCAGCTGGCTACGGAAGAGACAGAAGGCACCCTCCTCCTCAGCTCTGAACTGCATCTCCTGCAAACCTCAAAAGGGGTCATCCCTGCTCATCCCCACAGCTGGTGACTGGTCAGGATGCTAGCTGCAGTCACACTTGCCCTATCTTAGGATCAGCTCTGGCCAGGGTGGCTGTTCTATGGATCAGTGGGGAAGCCAAGCTAATATCTGTCCATCACAAAAGAGATGGGCACGAGGCAAACAAATGGTGCAGAAATGCATGTGAAGGGAGCCTGGGTGCAGAGGCTAGGCTGAGTTCTACGCTGATGGGATTGTACTGCCCTGCTAGGACTGGTGGCCACCCTGCTGAGTCAGGACCACCTCTTGGCAAGCCGGGGAGAATTCAGAATCCGTTCCGGGAAGCCAGACAAACCTAATGGAGGCACCAAGTCTGACTCATCCTACAGAGTCATTCTGTGCTCTGACTGTGTGGTTAACATACAGCTGTTTGTTGGTCCCATTCCCTGCACTGCACCAGAACCAGTGAGGACTGCCTGTGGTATCCAGTGGGGAGGTCCCACAGTTGCTGAACATGTGTTATTTAATACCTTTGGAGACAGTCCTGTGAAAAGTACTAACCTTGCTATGACATGATGGCACTTAGCACATGACTGGATGCATGCACACTGGTGTGTTAAGTGTGCTTAACACATCCTACATATACTGTGCAAAAAGGCTGTCATAGAAGGCTGTAGCTGTTATTTCCCAGATGAATATTAATGCTGCAGAACACTTCTGTTTGTCCTCTGAATGAACAAGGGTAAAGAAGTCGGCAGTGAAAGGTGCCACTATGATAGATCTAACCAGGAGCAGCCTGGGCAGACATGGAGCAAGGTCCTCCTGCAGTGCCCCAGCACACTATGCCTTGAGCCTCTCCAGTGAGACAGCCTACTGAAAGGCCAATCCATATCTGAATCTCTTCTGCTAGGAAAAGGACTGAGGACTCATCATTCATCTCACAGGAAGTGAACAGCCATCAGATGATAAAAACTGTTGTTTGCGATCCTAGCTGGATTCACACCAATGACCCAGAAGGGAAAGGCTCCCTCCTCCTGGTCCTCCGAGCTGCTCTAGTGACTGCTGGGAAATGACTAAAAGGAGGATGAATTACCGGCTGCCTCGCCTTGCACGTTCCTTTGTATGCATGATGCCGTGGCTGCTACACGTGAATTGTCTCACATTGCGTTAGATGAAATAACCTGAACGGGCCGAATGCTTTTTGTGCCATCTAATCCCTAATCCTTTTGTGTTTGTCTCTCGAGGAGGTGATTACCATGCTGCCCCTGTCCACAACGAGGGGAATTATCCTTGCCTGATTTCCCGCAATGTTGCAATGTCCGAGGCGGTAATAACTCTGTTGACATTCCAAACATGAAGTGAAATCTATTTGAAAAGCAGCACGAAGACTCGTACGGTGCTATGCCTTAGCTGATATTAATTTTCCAATGGGGAGGAGGGTGGAGGGGGTGATGCTAGGAAAGAACAGCCCTTTTGAGGAGTAAATACCAGGCAGCCAGCTTGCCACTAAATTGATTTGCACGTGTTAAAATGCTTCCGCCTCTGGCTTTATGTGACTGCTCTTCATCTGCCTGTGAAAAAGGCAAACCCAGACATTGTATCAGACAA